CATCTGTTCGTTTCCTAGCTACACCATACGGTACTTTGTTTTCCATTTGAATGTTGATGGAAACTTTGGCTGTATAGTATGTTACTGATTTCCCATCTGTTCGTTTCCTAGCTACACCATACGGTACTTTGTTTTCCATTTGAATGTTGATGGAAACTTTGGCTGTATAGTATGTTACTGATTCCCCATCTGTTCGTTTCCTAGCTACACCATACGGTACTTTGTTTTCCACTTGAATGTCGACGGAAACTTTGGGTGTATAGTATGTTACTGATTCCCCATCTGTTCGTTTCCTAGCTACACCATACAGTACTTTGTTTTCCACTTGAATGTTGGTAACATACTATACAGCCAAAGTTTCCATGGAAACGAACAGATGGGGAATCAGCCTGGGGTTCCTCGTGTTATTAATCCACCTTTACAAAGCTACAGTACCTAACCATCCTTCTGAAGTTAGTGTCTTAGTATCAATGGAGCTGGACAAAAGGTAGCTGAAATATGGACTAATGCCTTTATGGAATCCTTCCATAAAGAATCACTCCCATCTTAAAGGCTGTCAAATAACTGTCCTATAAAATAACAATGGCAAGATCCCAGAGAAGGCTTAGTTAGAAGGTTGTCTATCACATTGAACTACTACTACTACTACTATCATTATTAAGTGGTTATCCAAGTGACTGTGAAACCTGGATCAGTCAGAACACAACGGCAGTAGCTCTATAGTATAGTCCAGATATCCATTCTTGCTGACAAAATATTCAGAGTCGGCATCAGTGTAAGATGGGTCGTAGCTGCACCAACTACCAGAAGATGCATCACAAAGCATGGACTACTATCAACACTGGTCTGGAATAACCCCTCTCGCCTGTCCTCTAGCTGGACAGTCTGACCAGATGCTGTGTGCTAACCTTTGCCGATGGAATTCCGGTGAACGACAGAGGCTGTAGCTAAGGTGAAACCAAATGCAAGATGCAAGCAATCCTGAGGAAATGGTGCAATTTCATCAATTCTGCCAGAGCCACAACCGTGTTCGGCACACTCAACAACAGACATGTTGATAAGGATAAATCATCATCACTCTTTGCAAGCATTACCATCTCTCTGGAAGAAACTTAAGGATCAGAGGGTAACCTTTGACAAGGAAATGAACGTCTCCAGCCACAGTAACACCATGAAAACCAGAAATATAAAAGTCATCAGTGCACTGAATGTTACAGAAGAAATGGAGCTGAAGAATGTCACATTCTACCAGTCTTATCTGGTCCATCCAGTGAGAAATTGCATCTAGATAAAATTGAAAATTTCCAAGTCGATGGCAGAAATAAAGCAACTGCATGGTACGACCATCATCTGGATGTATGTACCAGGCAATGCAGGGGTAAAGTTAAACTAGCAATCTGTCAAGATATTCATCTCATCTACATTAGTAAGGTGAAAACAGCAACCATAGAAGGTTTCCATCAACATTCAAATGAAAAACGAAGTACCGTATGGTGTAGCTTTACAAAGCTTACAGTACCTAACCAACCTTTTTTGTTATTAATCCACCGCCTGGGGTTCCTCATACAAAGCTTACAGTACCTAACCAACCTTTTTCTGTTATTAATCCACCCCTCAACCAAAGAGAAAACTGCCCCAAATGAAGAAACTTTATTCAATCCAAACTCGTTCCTCAACCAAAGAGAAAACTGCCCCAAACGGAGAAACTTTATTTATGATATGTAGGTACACTTGTATATCCACAGAATATCATAACAAGTTTTTGAGTTTCTGATGGAATTCCAGTGTAGACCAGGTAACTGATTTAAGTTACATGCTGATGTAGTCCTGTAAACATTTAACAACAATCATTGTTAATATGGACAAAAACACATTTTAGCTTAGGTTACAGCATTGTTCACGGGATATACTTTCACAGTGTAAAAAAAAGAAAATTGTAATATTAAAACCCTTTTTCTTTTTTTCATCAATTTCAACATTACGTGCGTTTCCACTCTCAGAACACAATGAATTTTATTATAACATGGACATCACGCATTTTGTGTTTACGTTATCAGATTGGCTTGTTTAATTGTTTTTTTTTTATTCTTAACATATAACAAGAAATGTAACACGGAAATTATAACCAATTTACATTGTAAAATGTGTCCTACTACCTCTAAATGTGTCAGATGAAATAGATTTAATTACACAAAGTTTATGCCACAAATTTTAATCCAGATTCACTGTAATGTTTCTTTGAAATTATTTTTTTGTTGTTATTGAGAGAACTCAGTAATTGTTTTTTTAAGTAATCACACAATGCCAATTTACTGCGTATATAAATCGGTTTGGTGGCCACACATAAGCATATGTTAGTCGGTGTTTGATAGAATGATAACTTTTTACTTGTAAAAATTACTTTTGGTTATTCATAAAATATGTTTTGACAATGCAACATTTAACGGCGTGTCCTATACAATATACGTACAAATTAGTATTGGTTGTGTATAAAGATGTTTTGATGTGTTTGTACTAGATACAATAATGATAGTGTTGTCACGATATGCTCCTCTTTCCATTTCGTATTCACCAAACGTAGTTATCACTTAATCATCCGTGTGGAAAATAATCCATGTTGAATCCGTGTACGTGTAAAGTCTTTTCTTTTCGGCAATGCTTACTGTCATTGGTCGGTTCGAAGCATATATATCCCGCTTTTAAAGGTTTGTATCTTAAGGTTAAACATTAAGTAAAAAGTTTTACTGTTTTGTTACTGATAACCTAAAGGAACAAGTACATAACAACACTTTAAATGTTATGAATTCATCAACACCGCACTTGGAAACCGGAATTCTCCTTTTTTTTTTGAAATCTTTAAAAAGAATTTGTGATACACAACAAAGAAAAACAAATACATCACCAAAACACAGAATGCTTGCCACATAAATACAGCTGTTTGTGATACACAACAAAGAAAAACAGATACATCACCAAAACACAGAATGCCTGCCACATAAATACAGCTGTCACGTATCACTTTTCCACAGTTTGATAGTTTTGTCATTTTCCAGAGCAGCTGAAGCAATTATATTTTCAGTTGGATGGCAGGCTGTGCACAGGACAACGTCTACAGGAATTAAACAAAAAATATTTTACTTATCAAATACTTTCTTTAAATAAACATGAAGCCCAATCTATCATTTGGATAAATTATCCCTGAACAAGACTAGGTTTATTGCAGTGATGGACCGTATATTGTTTAATGTTTTGAGTTGTCTTTTACTCACCACAGTGAACCAATATTTATAGAGGATTTTAAGAATATAACTCATTGATGCTACTACCTTATTATTTGGAATTATTCAGTAGACAACCTGTTAAAAATTCTAAAAATAATTATGAGGCCCACTCCATGATTTGATTCACCACTTGTCACTCATTTATTAAAATATAATCTAGTTAACAATTTGTAGTTTTAATGTTTTGCATTCTGTTTCTTTAGTTGGCACTCGGTAAAATGTATATGTTAGCAAAAGTTAGAAAATATGAAATATTTCATGAGTCTGAGTCATGTTTCTAAGTTCAAATGTTGGATATCAAGACAGAAGTAGAAATAAGAAAACTATCAAACAAATATATGATAACTTTGGAAACAATCTTAGTATATAGTATTTTAGAAAACTTGTAACATAAACGGAGAATCTTTCAACATGCAAATATTATTAATCCACCTCTACAAAGATTACAGTACCTAACCAACCTTTAGCCTGGGGTTCCTCGTTACAACAGGAGGTTTGTTCATGCTAACATGATTATGTAAACTAATGGTGTCAATATCAAACTTAATAGGACAAATGTTGAATTCCTAAATTATTTCATGACCCAACGGTGTGTATCATCAAAACAGTGGCTCAGCATTAAGTCTGAAGGCTTATAACACTAAAAACTGAGTTTCGATACCCATGATGGGCAAAGTACAGATAGCCCATTGTGTGGTTTTGTTTTAACAACAAACATCCAAATAGATCAGAAAATCTGTTACCAAGATATAAAATTGTATCAACAATAAATAACAGGTTTTTCTTTCTCAGTACATGAATAATAATAATATTGCAATATATATCCATAGCAAAAATAAAGTTATTTCAGATCAAACTGACAGTTAAACGAGGTTAAAATTTAGGGTTCTGAGAAGACAAAAAAAAAGGTTACAATGAAATGCCAAATGTGGCTAAAATTCAAGAGTTAAAAGAAGAAGAAAAAGGTTACGATGGAACGTTATACGTGGCACGTTACCTTCCACATTTTGTTATGAGGAAATCTAAAGTCAGAGAAGTTCTGATAAGGACATGTATGGACAGCTGAGGAAGAAATGGTATGACCTGTCTTAAAGATGAAGCTTACTATAAGCAATGATTGTTGAAAGGCCATTATAGACAGTGAATAGACAAAGTAATGAATCAACCCAGTTAGCTGAAATCTCAGAAAGAAAATCTGGATATTTCTGAAGCTACCATTCTGGAAACTATTCCGAGCAGAATAAGATTCAGGGTTTCTACTGGGTTACACTGCATCCTTTGTTTATTAAAACCCAGAAGTTAAAAGATTTGGCCGTATGAATTCAATTCAAACTCATTCCTAAACCGAAGAGAAAAAAACTGCCCCAAACAAAGAAACTTTATTCAATCCAAACTCATTACTCAACCAAAGAGAAAAAACTGCCCCAAACAAAGAAACTTTATTCAAACTCATTACTCAACCAAAGAGAAAAACTGCCCCAAACAAAGAAACTTTATTCAATCCAAACTCATTCCTCAACCAGAAGAGAAAACTGCCCCAAACAAAGAAACTTTATTCAATCCAAACTCATTAAACTTAATAGGACAAATGTTGTACGATATTGACACCATTAGTTTAGATAATCATGTTAACATGAACAAACCTCCTGTTGTAATATAATCATGTTAACATGAACAAACCTCCTGTTGTAAATACAACATTTGTCCTATTAAGTTTGATATTGACACCGTTAGTGAATGTCGAGAATTGTAAGGATGATGCATATATTATAGATACGAATAAATTTTATCTCATGTTTTGACGGTCTGTTAGCTGATTTACATAATCATGTTAACATGAACAATCCTCCTCTTGTAAGTACAACATTCATTCCCATCTAAATATATATACGTGCTGCAATGCAAGTTGTTGTCAGATATTTTATTGTTTAAGATTTGCTTTATAAGGTATTATGAATTCCATTCAATAAACATTTTTTGTTGCTTAGAAGTAGAAAAAAACGTATGATATTACTTCACAGCAACACAAGAATTTAAATCATTGCTTTACAGCCCTCGTCTTATTGTGTTTGTTTGTCTTTGGAGTTCCACTCGGGTTACTTGAGGGCTATCTTCAGTAGCCATCCCCTCTGACATAGAAATAAGTGCCTAGAGGAAAGTCAACTAGTCACTTCCTCCGACTTCATTGTAACACTCTCATGATTAAAATGGCAAGCACGTTCAGTGATAGAATTCGAACTTGTAATACCCAGATTGCAAGTGAAGCATCCTAACAGTCTTGATGTGATAGGACACGCATTGCTACTAAATGTTTCACCAGCTAAGAGATTCTGTGTCCTAAATTTTCTCGTCTCATAAACGATTATTTGTTGCGTGACTGATACTGATAGATGGTGCAGTTTTAACATTAGGCTGGTTTTTGGAAAAACGAGAGAACCGGTTGAGTACAAGAAGTTACGACGATTCTGTTTGGTTGATAAACCGGTGTATACTCCCACCCGCCGAGACTCAGTTGAAGTTATTATAATGTGCAATGAGCTGAATGAGACTTTACAATTAATAATAATTTCAACTACACAGTAATATACAACTTTGCAATAGACCTGTCAGTATAACTTACCAAATTTTCAGTTATCTCTCAATTCTTATCTTAGTGTAGGGTCTGGAAAACTACATGAACTAAAATATATGTTGGAAGTTGTTTGACAAAGTAATGTTGTAACTATAATATTAAATAATTCATAGTTACTTTAGCTAAATAATTACAAGTGTCTAATTTGAGACATTGGTATATCTAATTTTCTTGTACTAAAAACAGTGGTTTGCATCCTTTTCGTCTGCGCCCTCAAGGTTAGATAATAGAGAAAAAATTACACAAAATATTAATGAGAAAGTAAATTAGGAAGAGAAAGTCAGTTTCAATAATGCTTTCACGATTCTTTCATTTATAGAAATATAGCCAAATTAACAACAAATCCGTTACCTATCTTCATCATTATTAACGTACTAAAAAATTTGCATAAATATCACCAATACTACGACAAATCCGTTACCTATCTTCATCATTATTAACGTACTAAAAAATTTGCATAAATATCACCAATACTACGACAAATCCGTTACCTATCTTCATCATTATTAACGTACTAAAAAATTTGCATAAATATCACCAATACTACGACAAATC